GACAAAATACAAAACAGAAAAACACAATTTTAAAACCTATCCAAACCTAACCTTCTAATTAGCAAAAAACCTTTTTTTCTTTCCTTCTTGCCCTTCTATTTTCTCCCTCCAAAGCAATTTGCACCCCTATCATTAGTTATAACTTAGTTAGAAATACATTTTGGCACCAAGCCATTTTCATCAGATATTTTGAAACATATTCAAAGCACCCCTGTGTTGAAAAGTCAACTGTACTACTTTCAAATTAAGATTAACTATCGCTATCACTCTCCTACTTTTGTGCAATTATTTCCTAGCAAGAAACTATGTTCTACTAAGGCCCAATGTTAAGTTAATTTGACTTTCTGGAATAGCCAGATGTCCCAGAATACAGATACAGTAAATGGATTATATACAACTTTTTAATACCATACCAACTTAGTACACCTCCAAAGAAGATGTATGATATCTCCTGGGGTCTGACTACAGTGAGTACAACTAGTATCATCTCAAAAGCCTCCTCTATGAAGTAAATAAGTAGTTCTATATGTCCTATGGATGATAACTAGAGTTATTCCCTGAGGGGCTGATATTGAGACAGAGGGGACTACATGCAGTACCTCAAACCACTTATCCTTCAGTATATTCCCAATGCCTCACGATTGTTGCTCCCTGTTGTTTAAAGTCATGGTTCTCAACTGGTGGGACGTGACCCTGTGTTCAGTGGGTCGCTCTGTGCCTTCCACTTTTCTGGGTGAGAGTCTTCTCAGCCTCCCCTTAGCGCAGCACGGTCAGGTAATGCACCAAGCAGCCATTTATATGCCGCTCGGCGCAGAGAGTCAGCTTAAGGTGGAATGAGTTGGGGGTATGGCTGCGAGGGAGCTCCATCCATACGTGCAATGCTTACAGCTCCCTCGCGTACCCTGTAGAGGTGCCTGGTCCGGAGTGACATCACATTCTGGCTCCCGGCACCTCTACAGGGTGCACAAGGGAGCTGTGCAAGAAATACACATATGGATGGAGCTCCATCACAGTGATTAATACACTGTACCACGCAATTGCACCTAATATGCGTTCTGGTGTGTGAGGTGTGTTGCATTTCATTTGAATGGCATCCCAAACACACCTCCTGCCCCCAGTTCAATCGCCCGCAACCCGTGGTACCACAATGCCTTGCGTTCCATTGAAGTGCGATTTGGGTCGCAACTTAATGACCAAGGACAAATGTGGGTCGGTCCTGAGGTTGCACAGGTTAGGACCACTGGTTTAAAGGATATTTTAAAAAATATTTATGGATTGGACTGTTATACAACAAAGAAATAACACCTTTTGTATGATCAACCATCAGTAAACCCTCTATTATCTGTATTTTACAATATGACACAGGACTAATTTTCTCCTGGGCCCTAACTGCATGGCACAGTTGCAAATAAAAAAAAAAAAAACCTTTATTGGTACCAAGAATTCTTCTTGCAATTGCTGAAATTACTTTAATGAATCATTAAGATACTACTGCATAAACACACAAAATGACCCTCTGCTTCCAAATAGTACACACTGGAACACAGGCATTTAGGTACCGCGCATTCCGGTGTGCCGATCGCACTGCAGGGGCAGGTGCGTTCGGGGTGCCTTTGAAATAAATGGCACAATAAACGCAACTCCTGTACCAGAATTTGTCAGGCTTAAACTGAAAATGACCTTTTTCCCACCTCTTTTATTTTATTTGTAATTATTGGGGAGATGGGGGAGCTTTATTTTTTTTAACTTTTTTATAATTATTGCTATTTTGTTTTACTTTACTCTTAGGGGTTTTGGGGCCTAAACAGACCCATGATATTTTCCTTTTAGGATAGGCTTTGATAGGCTTCATCAAGCAGATTAGGGTTTACACGAAGATGTTTTGTAAACCTATTATTTCAAGGAATACACTCTTGAGAGCCGATAGCTGTCATCCACCTAAAGTAAGAAGAGCCAAAACAAGGGGACAGTTTTGACTTAGGCAGAATAGTTTTAAATGATTTTGAGGTGGAGGCTAGTGCCTTGAAGTAAAGGTTCCTTGCACAAGAATATGGCTGAGCCCGATGTACAAAGGGCCTATAACAGGGAAGGGATGTATACTGGATTTTCCCGCTTGACACGCGTATCCCTAAGGGGTTAAACCGAGTCGGATGTCACTCATTTTTATGAGTGACCCTCATTCGAAGACTCTCACTTTCTCTTTTGTCTCCTAGTATTAACTAATAAGAGAACTTAGACAATATTATTATGTTATTGAGGTTCTCCTGGTCCGGGGGTTTATCCACTATTCATGATTTTAGATCCTTTTGATGGTTTATGTAAACAGTTTTTTACAATGATTTAATAAAGTTTTGTTGGTTTTAGGTTATAAAGGATATAGCTACATCTTAAATCAGCTGGTATACATACCTAATTATGCACTTGTTACATTGTTAAAGTCGTGTTACACTAACTGGCTTAAGACATTTGATATGTTATTGTGTAGCATGGCTATTGTGATCTGCATTCAGGTATACTGCTGTGTTTTATTGCGACTGTCATACAATGAAATGCACCTAAACTTGCTTGTATACGTGTAGCTTACCTAGATCCACACCCATCTCTACAACTAAGCCCAGGATAGGGTGAAATGAATAAGAGGGGGCAGACCATAAATGGAACTCAGTGCTACGGATTAACTCTCAATAAAATGATTCAGCGTGGAACGGAGTGCAGCTAGATTTCTTTTCTTGTTATGCCTTTTTGGTTGGGGTGAGGACACGTTCCTCTCGGCGAGCACCCGGCTGCATTTCCCCTGCTGGAGCCGTGGAAGAGCGGTTTTTATTTTCTACGCTCCCTTTACCCCTAGTTTATCCTTACCAGTCTCCAAATTTTAGCAAACAATTGGAGGATTGGAACCCTTCTCTGTTTATAGAAACCTCATTTCTCCAAGGCCTCTAAAGCAGTGGTCTCAAACCTCCGGCCCTCCAGCTGTGGTGGAACTACAAATCCCATGAGGCATTGCAAGAGTCTCACAGCCACAGACATGACTCCCAAAGAGAGATGCATCATGGGATTTGTAGTTTCACCACAGCTGGAGGGCCGGAGGTTTGAGACCCCTGCGCTAAAGGGTCCGAGCCTGTCACACAGGAGTTAAAAAAGCTGGTATAGGGAATGAGTACACTTGCCCCAACTCAGAAAATGCTGTACCTGCACAAGCAAATAAATCCACGGGTTGGGGGGTTGCTAGTCCAAATTTATCATTTGGACATTGTAACGTTTCTATACGCAGTGCAGGGGTTTTTTCCTCCATATTCATATTGCACAGTCTTCACAGAAACAAAACATGTACAAAATAAATATTTACATTTTTGTTTGAATTGACAAAGACAAGAAGGACAGAGACAACAGAGGAAAGCTTTCAGAAATGGCGCTGGCCCCAAATTACTAGTTTTGGATCATATTATGTAACACCTGTATCATATAATTCAGAACATATATACAAGTACAGTAGGAACTTAAGATCTTTCAAGCTAATGGCACTCTGGATGTTGATGGGGCTGTCCTAAAAATGGCAGTGGGATAAGCAAGAAAGTGAATAAGAGGGGGGAAGTGTCAAAAGAACAAGTGGCTTAAGTGGTAGCAGCTTTTATCAGACACCAACTAACTGGGAGCATGTTACAAATGAACATAGTAGATGAGGTTGAATAAAGACAAGAGTCCATCTAGTTCAACCTATGTTCTAAAACTACTTGTTATTACAAGCTAAACTTCATCTCTTGCCAGCTGCTCTTATGCTATGTTTCCGAGCTTTTGAGGGTATCACCTAATCCTTCTTGAAAATCAAGATCAGGTTTAGTTTATTTTTTTACTTTTTTTTTCTTTTACATTAGATTTAGCATGCAAAAAATGTTACATATCCTAACTTTTGTTCTTCAAAGTTTTTGCAGTCTCCTGGTGCTGATGCTACCTTATTTAATTACAATTCCATGTTCTTCAGAACGCCATAATACCTTTGGCATTAATTAATATGTACTTGAAGCCAAACCATTTTTTTGTTTTAGTTTTGGGTTGTGTAGGTCTAGAACCTCTGTAAGCTTTTTACTGCTATTTAGGGCTTGGCTAGAGAGACTTTCTATTATTTATTGTCCTAGTTTTACCAAAACAGGAAGTGAGAGAAAATGGGTACACGGGTAGAAATAATAAGCCAATGGGGGGTTTCTAGCATTCCCCTATTTTATATTTAAAAAGTTTTTTACTGTGATTTACCCTTACTTCATGTCTGCTGAAATTATTGTTCACATGAAGTGAACAAAAATCTCTTAAGGTGCCCATACACCTTACGATTATCGTCCGATAATCGTATGCGATCGACTTTTCGTCCCATAATCGTATGCGATCGACTTTTCGTCCGATAATCGTATGTGTGCATTGCAGTGTTCGACCGACAATACTGTACAATCGTACGACTTTTGATGGTCAAGCATGTTTGAAAACTTTGCTAGATCGTACGATTGTCGTAAGGTTGCTGGCGTTTCCGTCCGTCAAAAGTCGTACGATGTACACTGCGCTTGCGCTAACGAAAATACAGCAAATCAATTACCGCATTTCGTCCAGGTGCTTTTGGTTAATTACGGCTAAATGATTCTTGCGATCATCGGGGCAGGATGGGGCTGCCGTACGAAAATCGTACGACTATTCGATCGGACGAAAAGTTTCGTCCGATAATCGTAAGGTGTATGGGCACCTTTAGGAAGCATCGGATAACAATAAAAATCTAAAAGGCTGGACATACATTTTAGGAAGGCAAAATGTAGAAAGCACAATAACCCATGACAACCAGATATTGTATTTAATTTTTTTTACCACTCTAAACTAGTGCTGTGCACATTGCCATTATTCTTTGTATGACCTTATTAAATAATCTGTCTTGAATAGACTAATTACATTGTTAGAAATTAAAGGTTAATATGCGTCAATAGGATTTTGCAACACCAGTTTTCAAACTCACGGAAATATAGCTTGTTTTTTCAAAGCAAAAACAAGGAAAACAGAGCACACAAAGTATTAAAGTTACAAAACAATTATTATCCCATAATCATTATGGGATCAGTGTGATCACTCTGAGTGTTGGGACCCAATCTAAGGACACACTTTTATAGATATTTTCAGTGCAAATAAAATCAGTAAAACATAATTTATTCATGAAACCGCTCATAATAATTTTGTCAAATATTACAAAAACCCTCCGTGCAAAACAAACAATTAATCATGGTAATTCAGGAGGCAACATACCGCTGGAAAAAAAAGGTGACCAGTATAACCGAGGCCCATGCAATGCCCATATGTGCAGAGGACAGCAACTCCACACCTGACATGTATAAAAGTTACAAATCAATTTGATGTAGAGTGAATTTGAGTCAAGGGATGTTACCGCTTCTAAAAAGGGGCTTATGTATACAGTGCCATAGGTTACAAAGGAATGATAAAGAAAGAAAGAGAGAGAAAGGGAGACAAAAAAAAGAAGAGGTTAAATTCATCCAAAAGGTTTTTTCACAATTATGCTGTCTATGCAACCTTTATAGGAGAACTGTGTAGAGCCCCTTAGGGGTTGGCTTGTTTCTACCACCAGAACTACAGTACAGCTTTACGAGGTGGTGGGCTGAAGATCCAACTTTACTCCTTTGGTTTACTACTACTCGGGTTCCATACTTCTACAGCCCTAGGTCAAACACTTGCTTACACTATGTTTGAGAGGTTTCTCCTTTACCAGTGGTCCCAGGCTTCTACCATGGAGATCCTCTTCCTCACCTGAGGCTCGTAGAAATGGAGGCCCAGATAACATGTGCGCTCGCCCCGAGGGAACCATCCCAACCACCACCACTAACAGATATTCCACCACTTACTCCCAACCTGAACTGGCTCATAATTTCAAACTCCCCAAATATAGGCTGTGCAATTACATCTCATAGAGAACACACGACCAGTTCAGCATATTCAAATGCAGCATTACTCATGACACCTGGCTGTTGACAGAACAAAATCAAGATGATCTCAATTTTACATGTTGTTAGTCTTCACCGAATCCCTCAACATGACACCTCTTGGTTTCAGAACATTTACTGAACAAATGACCTATTTACATAGCAAACTGCACTTTAGAACCTTCAATGTTCCATAGGAGGGGTGCTGCGATGCTCACAATGTTGTATGGAATTAATTCTCCAACTGTGTGTCCTCTCCATTTCCTGGACTACTTGCTATACCCTGAGGGGAAAGCGTGTAGGTGTGATTTCTCTCTCTCTAGCTTCTCCCCAAACCTCCAATGAGCCCAGCTGCTCCTTCCCTATATTCAATGTGAGTAGACCCCCTCCAACAGGGAAAGTAACCCCCTACTACAACCATACTTGCTTACGTTTTTGCCTACACGTTCAAAGGTTCTCAAACTTAATGGTTTTGGCAGATTAATAAATTTAAAAAAGTGAAACTTCACCTTTGTTAAGGGAAAAACAAGTATATTGTGTGCTTTTAGTATTTTATTACAAAACAAAACCTACTGCCGATCTAAGGATAATACCCAATCTTAGGGCTGCTAACAAAATTCTCTGCAAAAAGAAAGGCTCCAGAGGGATTAGGGCATCATCAATCCAAAAGTACTATCTGTAAAAATAGAGCTGCATTCCCTGTGACGTTACAGTGTTTTGGGTACATTTAATGAAGAGTGATGATCATGGTACATGAGGATTAAGCGAGGGGAATCTTTGCACACTTTTGTTACACAAGTTCTTCTTTAATATAACAGTGTACATGGTATTTTAGGTCTAAGAAAAGCCAGCAGTGGTGAAATGCACTGTTAAAAATGTTCTGGTTTATATTTCTCTGTCATTTTGGTTTGGGCTACTGATTTACAGATCGTAGCAGCTTCCCAGAGCCAAGTAATTCCACAAGTAAATATATTTCAAGATAAGACTCCCCTGATAACCTTTGCCAACCACGGTTGCCAACCAAAAGTGTTATGACAAGCTCTGTATGTACATACATAGACAGATATTGTGGCATGTCATCCATAAGTATTTGTGGCAAGGCACAGCAACTGTTTCAATGCCTCAGAATAAAATCTGGCCTGTCATGGCTAGTTTGCACATCCAGTCCAAGAAACTCTGCTTAATGTCTGCAGTAATACATTCTTGGGAACCATATTCCGCATGGGCTCAGCGGGAAGTATAGATGAGGCTAGAAGCTCAAACTATGTCTGCAATCTGCAGAGGCCTGTAGTGTGAATAAACCTGGCAATACACTTCTCAAATCTCAATCAAAATTCGAGCCAAGGTTGGCACTGTTGGCCCTACCTGGCTCAACAAACTTTAAATTTAAAAACGGAAGGAGTCGTTGGTAAATTAATCGGTCGAACAGTGACTGCAGCCATTCACCTGCAGTCACCATTCAGGTATACGATAGCTGGCAATGACGGGGAACTCAAGAAGTTTCCTCCCGTTTAACCTTTGAGCTGAACAAGATTAAATTAAAATGTGTAAGGCTTAAGTAGACTGCAGACAAGAAGAAAAAGCTAAGTGAAGATGGACTGATATCTCTTAAAGAATAGATGGGGAGATAGCTACCCATCCTAAAATAAGTTGCTGTGGTTTCAGATCATAACAAATGCATCTGCTGGTTATTTTTAATCTTTCCCCCATCTCATAGGACAGCAAAGGATTGGGCCTCGCTCACTCCAAGAAGCTGAAAAATATCTGTGCGTGATAATGCGTGTGCCTGAGAGCTGCCCACTAGTGAACACCAGGAAGCACAGAAATGCATATTTAAATCAAAAGAATTGCTCGTGGTTTTTGGTCATTTATGGCTATGTTAAAAAGTGGTCTGCTTTCACTGAAGACCCTAAAAAGTTTTAGGGCAGCCAGCAAGCCTGGGAAGTGTTCTTTGGAATGATGATTTATCCTCCTTATTTAAACTTAAGTTTTGAGCAGAAGTGGTTCACTGTATGAGGGAATTTGTTCATACTTGTCACTTCTAAATAAAAACAAATTTCTTTAGTGTTTAAACTCGATTCTGGAATTAATCACCAAAATAACCTTTACCTATGGTTGCAAGTATGAACTTTGCTAACAAAAATTCAGTTGCTTGATGGATATCTAAAGTTATAGAATGTATATTTCCTGTGCTCCTGTATATTATACCCCAAAAACAATTGATTTAATTGTGATAAAGTACTGTGTTTATGAAACATTGCTAAATCACTTGTACATACCAAATGAAAGGGCATGCGTAACAGGCAATTGGTCGGTTTTCAACTCTTCCTTTAAAAATTCACATTCCACTGAAAACTAAAACAGACATAGGAGTAATTTTACACACAGTGCATAATTCTCAGTAGAATGTTGCAGAATATGTTCTTACTACATTCATAGAAAATACAGATCCTATTAGGTATATGTTTATTTTGAATTTAGGTTTAAATATGTGTATATCACTGGAAGAATATCATAATTGTTTGGTATCTATAACAATAAAAAATGTGTTAAATTAGTCTAATATAGTTGTGTAATGTATACAGATTCTATATACAACATTGGACAATGAAATAAAAACTTAAAAGTGCAGTATGACCTTGAAGGACCATGGCAGAGGCCATTTTAAGATTGCACAAACAAATTGATTAAACAAATTGGAACCATTAAAAACCTATGGCTAACCTTTCCATCGCTCATATAAAGCCTGTGTAAATGTGTAAATGCAATTTGCTTTCAGGTGCATTATGCTTATATTTTACATCAGTTTAACCCATTCATAATCAAAGGTCATTGAGATCTAGATGCCCAGGCCAAATTTAGCAGCATCAGCATGTGTTTGTCAACTTAAACCAATATGCTCACATGCATTTTTTTTATACATATATATTTTTTTTACATATTAACTAATTATTTTCTTTTTGTAATAGTGGTAATGTATCTGACATTACATTAGTAAATGGATAATGGCACTGCAGATGAACACGGCAGCCAGAAGATGGCAGTGTTTATATGCTTTATGTTTATAAGCTTTCTTTTTTGTCAATGCAACCTCCAGCCTGCAAGCAATCATAATGATGCTGTGATGCTGTGGTTGAATCGGTGGTGTTAGAGATCGAGGGGGTGGTCACTGCCGCAGCTGCCGAAGTGGCTACGTCAGCAACAGAAGGGAAGGGGGGAGGAGTCCGGTGATGTCACGGACATCGACGTCCCCGGACCCCTCCTCCCTTCCCTTCGTTAGCCGTCAAGGACATCGACGTCACCGGATCTCCGGGGAACTCCCGGAAGACCCGGAAGCCGCCGGAAAGGTGAGTTCCGATCAAAATAATTTTGATCAATCAAAAAAATTAATCGAAGGATTAATCGTTAATTTCCGCAGCCCTAATATATATATATAATATACAGATTGCAAGCAGGAAGGGGTTAAGAATGTATTGAAGTATCCATGCAAATACTAAAAATGACATTAGGGTGCAGAAAAATTGTAAGAGAGCCAATTACCATTATTTTCTTTATAAATCTCCCCCTACCCTAGTGCGAAAATATTTTCCTTGCTGTATCCTGCAGACAAGACAAGGACCAACGCAGTCCCTTTGAGAACAGCAGTCCAACAAACCCCCTACAAAATCAGATCTACAACTTTACCATTCAAAATGCTTGCTCTCACAGAGAAAGCGGCTTTAATTCAACTTTAAGATGTTTTCGGAATCATTCATTATGTTACTGACCTGCATTTGACCTCTTCTAAGGCTACATCAATTTTGTACTAGCATTGACTTATATGAACAGACTTGTATGAGTAGTGAAGCTGTTTCAACATGAACAAAAGCCATTCAGCGCAGTAAGGATGCTTAAAGTGACATTAAACCCTCAGATTTTTTAACATAAACCAATACTGTAAAGTGTGCCTTACTGTAATCCATGGTTGTTTCCCCTTCTCTTTGCTGCTCTTCCTTTTAAATCCGTATCTCTTCTTATGCTGGGCAGAACTTCTGTTTTGCAGCAGACTGCCTTGTCTCTGAAATGGATACATGGTGTCTGTGTGTAGGTTCACAACCTGAGCCAGCACTACAGAAGAGGCACTCAGCTGCAAAAGGGAAGTTCTCCCCCAGCATGAGAAGAGATAAGGATTTAAAAGGAAGAGCAGCAAAGAGAAGGGAAGCTACCATGGATTACAGTAAGGCACACATTACAGTATTAGTTTATGTTAAAAAATCTGAGGGTTTAATGTCACTTTAAGGTTTTCCTCAAGCCACTTCTTAAATATGACACAGGTCATTATATCAGTGACTCTAAAAACAGTTTTAATATAAGGATGCAGTAATTTCAAGGCAGGAAAAAAAAAATCAAGATGTTGTCTAAAAAGATTCTAACACACTCTTAAAGAAGGTTCTAGAAGACACCATTCGCAAAGTTTTTAAAATGACATGGGCTAAACGGCATTACAAAATATTTATCATCATTGTGGGTATCATGATTATTGTGGAACACTACTAATCTTCCCTTTTGAGGCAAAGTGTATTGACGGAAACTGCTTTAGAATGCAATTCCTAGTTATAGGCTATCCGAATTTAAATATTTTAGAATATAGTGGCTTCATGAAGAAGTCTAGGCAAGATCTCAGTGTATTGACAAAAGTGTGCGCTCAAAACTACCATGTAAAGCAGCTTGCAAATCTGGTCAGGACCCTATTGCTAGAAAGGTCAAGAATGCTTATGATGATCAGACAATATACAGTCATGCCAAAAATATTGGCACCCCTGCATTTCTCAGATAATGCACAACTTCATGCAGAAAATAATTGCAAATACAAATGTTTAGGCATCCTCATGTTTATTTCTTTTGTTTGTATTGGTACAGCACAAAAAAAAGTGCAGGAAAAAAAAAAAGCCAAATCTGACACATTCCACGCAAAACGCCAAAAATGGACTGGACAAAATTAGTGGCACCTTCTCCAAATTGTAAGAAATAATTGCATTCCAAGAACAGCATGGACAGTCTCAAGGTTACAAGTCCAGAGATTTTAATGTTGCTGTGTCCACTGTGTGCAACATTGTCAAGATGTTTACAGCCCATGGCACTGTAGCTAATCTCCCTGGACGTGGACGAAAGCGAACAATTGATCAAAGATTGCAACGAAGGATTGTTGGAATGGTGGATAAAAACCCTCGATCAACTTCCAAACAAATTCAAGCTGACCTTCAGGCACAGGGTACAACTGTGTCAGCTCGCACTATAGGTCACCATCTGAATGAAAAGGGATGCTAAGGTAGGAGATCAAGGAGGACCCCACTGCTGACACAGAAACATCAAAAAGCCAGATTGGAGTTTGGAGTTTCCCAAAACTTATCTGAGGATGCCAAAATCCTTTTGGGAGAATGTGCTGTGGACAGATGAAACAAAATGACAGCTTTTTGGTAAAGTCCCTCATTCTACTGTTTTCAGAAAAAAAGAAATGAGGCCTTTAAAGAAAAAAAATAAAGACCCTACAGTCAAACATGGTGGAGGTTCTTTGATGTTTTGGGGTTGCTTTGCTGCTTCAGGCACTGGATGTCTTGACTGTGTGCATGGCATTAAGAAATCTGAAGACTACCAAAGAATTCTGGGGTGCAATGTAGGGCCCAGTGTCAGAAAGTTGGGTCTCTGTCAGACGTCATGGGTCTTACAGCAGGACACTAACCCAAAGCACACGTCAAAACGCACCCAGAAATGGTTTCAGACAAAGCGCTGGAGAGTACTGGGCTGGCCAGCAATGAGTCCAGATCCAAATCCAATAGAGCACGTGTGAAGAGATCTCAAAACAGCAGTTGGGAAAAGGAACCCTTCCATTCTGAGAGACCTGGAGCAGTTGGCGAAAGAAGAGTGCTCCAAAATTCCTGTAGAGAGGTATAAGAAACTCATTGATGGTTCCAGGAAGCGATTGATTTCAGTTATAATTTTCCAAGGGCTGTGCTACCAAATTGAGGGTGCCAAAAATCTTGTCCAGTCCATTCTTGGAGTTTTCCGTGGAATGTGTCATATTTGTCTTTTTTTTGTGTCATACCAATACAAAACAAAAGAAATAAACACGAGAATGCCTAAACATTTGTAATGGCAACAATTTTCTGCGCGAAGTGGTGCATTATCTGACAGAAATGCAGGGGTGCCAATATTTTTGGCCATGACTGTAATGTAGAATTCCAGAATCTCCATATCATATGGTAATTTGGGATTTTCACATGTAAAAATGCTTCTATCAAATATCGATTGATGTAAAAGGCTCAAAAATAAAGAAAAGCAGACGTCTTGAAAAAACGTGAAAAAAAAAAGTGAAAAAACACTTAAATGTATTTTTATTAATAAATAAAAGACAGGAACTCACACGTAAAAAGTGCCAAATAACACGATCAATCATATGAGCATGGGAACAGGAATATACAATATATACAGTGCGAGACAGACACCTCTACAGGCAGACAGTTTTCGCCAAGAAAGCAGACAGTGGCGTAGCGTGGATCGTCAGTGCCCGGGGCATGGCAAGTATTGCACCCTCCTAACCTTGGACTTTTAGCACTCCAGACTGCTAGAACAGCAGAAAGCTGTGAGGATGCTAGCACTAAGGAGGATGGGGAGGGTCATCTCGGGCTGAGCCCTGTGTAAGGCTCTTCGCATTGTACATAGAAGGCTGGGGCTGCCCTGAAGCAATATGTCGGGCAGCCCCAGTGGCACTCAGCTCTGTACAGTACATCTACAGTATAGATTTTGGAGGCGTAACTAGAAACCTTAGGGCCCTGGTGCAAGAAACCATGAAGGGCCCCCCATCAAAATAAAAGCATGATTAGAGTGGTGTTAGAAGGCAAAGCCACCCCCTCTCAGGGTATATTGAGTGAGCTGACCACTGTATGAGTATCAACCACTGTGGAAGGGAGCAGCGGAGTGTTGGCTTGCTGCGTGCTGTGAGCTGTAGTTCCAGAAGGCAATGTTGGCACTGCGCAGTTACCAGGGCTGGACCCTTTTCTTCCTTTCCAGGCCCCACAAGTGGTGGAACACCAGGGCCCAGTCGCACATGTGACCGCTGCAACCTTGGTAGTTTTGCCAATGGTACAGATGAGTGGAGAATACACCAGTCATATGTACGAATGCAGGGGGTGGCAGGCAGGCAAACGGCACTGAACGGCCATGCGCGCCAAGGCCGCTGTTAGAAATCATGTGGCCCCGTCCAGCCCTCCTGACAGGGGCCCCATCCCCCGCTGTCATCGCGCATTTTACTGCAATACTTAACAATGAACAATACATTAATTGGTTTTTATTAAATAACACGTTTACATTTTATATTG